AGAATGAGGAACATAAATAAAGGAAAGGTTTTCAATTCAATTGAACAGTGATTCAAATTATCAATAATTTTAAACCCATCATGAAAAACTCACCTTGTCCTTTCAAACACCTTCACAGTTGTATCATTGGCAAGAGTACTGACCAAATTGACAAGCTCTGCTAAGATGGAAGGTAGCAGGAAGTGTGAGGCGATTTCAGCTGTGCACTGCTGAATGGAGGGGCAGGCTGTATTAAGGGAAGGAGCAGAGATAATGAGTTAATGGTACATCAGCTCAAAGAATAAAAAAACTCTACATCACGAGATGTAATCCATCAAAAATGATTTTTCACATTTTAGGAAGAGCTTAAATATATAGGCTGAATTTAGACTCCAATTAGGGTCACAAGGAATATAGCTTGTAAAGTGGTGCTTAAACATAATTTAAATGTTTTTAGTTAGTGTGGGGAGACTGCAACTGCATTGAGAATATGTAAATATCTTGACTTCCATGGAATTCATTGCACTATTTGCATTCGCCCCAATTATGGTGGCTTTAAGATAAATTGATTTGTCTGAATGATGATCAATAGATTTTAAAAAATCATGAGCTGCAGCATGTTAGTTAAGCATATAACCTGCATGAGAATTCCAAGCTTGTGTGCTATTGGAACAATGTATTGATGCAACAAAAGAGTCAAACAAAGAATGAGTGGTGAGGTTATTAGGTATTAGGGGTAAGGGTATTTGTGCACCTATAAAAACAGATCAGAAAACTGCAAAACTCTGTTAGTCAGGGTTCTACTAAGCTTATGATCACATATGGAGCAAGTTTATTTAGTTAGTCTAAATCAACATGTGTGATTTAAACAGTAGGAAAAAGGTCATTGTGGGCAGGCACATGGTTCAGAAGGATTGTACTTTGTCTTATAGTTAATCATGGGTGTGTTTTAAGTGCAACATGCAATAAACCAATTAGAGTGCCATCTCCCATTTCTTTAAAATGCCAGGTGTTCTTGCAATGGTAAGAGAGAATGTTTCTCTGCAGAGGAAAGGGCACAAACAGTGTGCACATGGACAGGAACATAAGATATGAGTTGGTGTGAAACAAGCAAGGAAACTCACATAGTGCTTTAAGATGAGGCCCTCGAAGTTACATGCATGTATTTTAACTCTGTTGTTACAACTGAACAATGACAAACAAATCATAAAGCAGGGTCAAACAGAGGCTAGGTGGTGCTGTATACTTCACTTCTGCCACAGGTCCGAAAAGGTGTAATAGAATTTTAGGAATCGACAATGGCAGAGGGTTCTCTGCAACCCAGGTGAGTTTGCATGAATAGTTTCCTTATACATAGTTACCATTCTCTACTACAGCATTTTCAGATATAATTAAACCCAGCTGGGTCAGAGAGGAGCCAACCACCTCAACCATATTTGAAAATCTACTACAACTTTCTAACAATAGAACCATTGTTCCTTTGATGAGGCACTTACATAATGAGTGGGCTACCATTGTTAAATCAAATCACGTGTAAAGACAAGGTACTTGTAACTGCAGCCTCAGATATTTTTACGAATAGAAATATTTTCTATACATGTAAATTCTTTAGAGGTTTCAAACGTTACAGTTAGGGTTCAGAATTTTGGAATGCTGTGTGAACTTTAAAGGCTCAAAATATGTTTGACCCTAATCTGAGGACATTAAACAACACTTACCAAGTTTTGCCATGAAAATGATCCACGCTTGGCATGTAACCTGGTAGACAGGGTGAAGAGTGCCTAGATCTCCCTCCTCCAAATGAGACACCTGCCGCCTACACAGTCAAAAAACATGCACACCCTATTAAGACATGTGATAAATTAAAGAACATTTAGGTACTTCACATACACTTAACCTCTAGTCCTAAAGCTGTTGCTGCTGTGCTATAACAGCTTGTTGATTAGCTGTCAATGGTGAGTTCTCAGCCATCTATGTATGGGAAGGGGGTCTCAGTCTTTTGGACCCCACCGTATATAAGTCATTCTTCTGGTTATCTTTACAACTGAAATACAAACTATCATTTATTTATGTATTTTAGTGTATGTAATACGAACAGTGCTGTTTGATCATTTGAGTGTAGAAACATTTAACTGGTGTTCC